ATTCTGATTGCAGAGGGACCATCTTAGTTGTCATTAGCCAGCATTTCAAAAAAAGAAAGAAAGTAATACAAAATGAAAGTTATTCAACAGAAGGCCCATAGGCCTTGGGGATGGGTGAAGACCCCGTGGGAGTCAGGGCCATGGGGAAGCCCGCACTGGTTACTATCTGGCTACCACAGCCTGAAATCAGCTATCAGGCTCTCTCAGGCACTCTCACTGCATCTTGGATAGATCATCGTTTTTCTTGGATGACTAAAGAGAAAACAGAAGACTTGAATTAAGACAGCTTCCCCCAGTATTCATCTGTCCACTTTTTTCGTTTGTTGGTATCCTTAGACAGTGAAATGATCCAGGGACCCTCCTGGAGGTTGGACGGGAGTGGTGTTTCACAATTATCATCAAAAGGAACTTGTTAAGCAGGGCAGGAGTGGACATAGGACTTGGGTGCCCTGTTAGGAGCATGGCCGAGTTGCATGGTTGAATAAGCCTGATTTTTCTTGGAATTCTGTCTGCCAGGCCTCCTCTCGGTCATGATGGATGAGAGAAGCAGAAGGAACACACACCTTGTTTGTGAAAACTTCCTACTGACTCAGCATTGGTCTGATCCAAAGTCTCCCTAAAAGAATGTTGTGTGATATTAGGGAGGATTCCTTGTAGAAGAGGATGGTGTCCTATGATTTTAAGGGCTTGGTTATAGATTTCTTTATTATGAGGCTTCACTATGCTTCTGACATGGTGAGTTCCTAGAAAAGAGTAAAGGCTGCCATCTATCCTTCACCAAGAAATGGCCATTTTGCTGGACCAAGGTTTCCTAGTGTGGAGACTAATTCACTGGCGCCAATCAGTCTTGAGGTTCTTGGCTAGCCTATCATCTATGGCTCAAGTTTGAAGAAATATGAAGTTGGTCTTGCTTTTTGAGATATGCTGAGGTTCTATCGGGAGTGTTTTTGCTTCCGTAGTTTCTCAGTGAGGATGACATCCATAGCAAGTTTTCCAGGATGGTTTGGAGAATTCACAAATGCCTCATACATCAAGTATCTGGGTGGTATGTGGCACATAGTAAGTATGAAGGACAACATCTAGTGAAGTGACACAAGGAAGATATGGGAGAAAGATACAAATTAACATCTCAAAAATACATTGCCCCTTCAATCTCTCTCCCAATATAATTTTTTGTTCACTTATTCCTTTATTCAAAAGGTTATGTGATTGCTTGGGAATATGGTATACAAAGAAATAATACACCCCCAATAAAATATTAACTTGGCAAGTTTTCTTAAGAAAAGTTTCTTTGTATTATTTATCTAAATTTATTAATCTTGAGAGTTCTTTGGTCACGCTGAGTGGTTTTCAGGGACTACATCTGGCTCTGTGTTCAGGAATGGTTTCTAGTATACATGGTACCAGTAATCAAACTGGGATGAGCTGCGTGCAAGTCAAGCACCTTAATCCCTGTACTATCTCTGGCTCCATAATTTGGCCAAGTTTTCATGAAAGCATACGGAACACATTTAGCTGCTGTTCTGAGAATAGGTTTGTTTTCATTCTAGTAATTCCCCCCTGGACTTTATAGAACAATTTTCACTTCTAGTTTGGACTCATCCTCTCCTCTATTCTGTACATCTTTCCTGAGAACATTTATTGTGCTTTTATATTCTAGTATATAGACTATCTAGATAGAATTATATGGGTGCACTGATGAGGACATGATGTGGAGTTCAGATTCCTGGCAGTCCATTGGAAGACAGACACATATAAGTGAAACAAGAATCCTAAGTTCTGCAATTCAGAATGCAATTGGGAAAGAGCAATATCCCCAGCACAAAATATTTTTTGCAATAAAGGAATAAGTGAACACATGAGGTTAATGCTTACTGTTGTGAAAAGCGTTGATATGTTTGAGGCGAAATCTCTGAGTTGTCATTCCATATTTTCTTTTTGCATTCTGCTTTAGTCATTTCAAATATTAGGTAAGACTGAAAGTTATTTTATCCTTTTTGTTTGTTCTTGTTTTTCTGGGAAGACCTCACAGTGCTGGGGATCGAACCAGAGACTTGTTCACAGAAAGAATATGCTCCAGCCCTTTGAGCTATCCAATTTTGTTGTTAATTACATTAAAACAATATCCAGAACTCAATTCACAATGAGTATGACTGTGTTTGGAAAGGGCTGCTCCAACAATTGTCCTAGCTGTCCAGGAGGGAGTTTGGGGAAGCCAAAAGACTTAAAGAGTTGCTCTGTGAGCTTGTTCACAGTGCCCAGATCTTGGAAAGGGTGGCTGAACAATCAGGCCAGGGGTATTGGAATGCAATGTTTGTGGGATGGGGGCTCAGACCAGAAAGTGGGTGGTTTTAAGAAAAAAATGCAACTTTGCACTATCTAAAACTATAACTTACTGCCCACTCTTTGGAAAAACATACTAACCTGAGGTTTACTTGCCTTTTGATAATGGTCAGTCAAGATTTTCCAAAAAAACTTCTTCCTAAAGTTGGTCACACACAAGCTTCGAGTCTGAGAAAATTCACAAGGATCTTTGTGTTTTGTTTCTCTGCTACATTTTTGGCTCTTGATTTTTTTCATTCAAGGTTTATTGAAATCTAGAGTTCCAGCTCAGGCAGATCAGAATATCTTTGGATTTTGGTTTCTCCATTTAGTAAATCATATAATTATATTAGACACTATTTTTCTCCAGCTCAATTTTACAATTGTAAACCTTCCCTGGTCCTTCTCCATTGGAACCACCCTCTCACCTCTGAGTGTGAGTAGTTTACTTGCATCTATTATGTACTTAATCAATTTCTTCAATAAATCATTTGAATAGCTGATTCAGGTCAAGAGTTGTGTTGGGCTAGAGTTGACCAAGAGAAACTGTGGTTTATATACACAATGAAATACCCCTCAGCTATGAGGAAAGATGAAATAATACAATATGCATTACATGGATGGAACTAGAGGTATCATGCTAAATGAAGTTAGTCAGAAATAGACACAGACTGGAATCACTAATATGTGGAATATAAAAAAATATGGAGACCAAAGAATGTCCAGATGCATCAGAACTTGAGAGTTGGTCTATAGAGCTGAGCTTACATATCTGGGGAGGGGCTCTGAAATAGGATATCAGGAATCTCTGGTGATGGGTGTGATGTTGGAATAATGTATGCATGAAACATTTTTTTATGTTTATATCTGCAACAACTAGTACTGTAGACCATGGTACCTCAATAAAAAATGGGGTGGGGAAGAAGCAATGAAATCTTGCAGTTCACTGAATGGAATTAGAGGGCATCATGCTAAATGAACTAAGTCAAAAGAAGGTCAAAAAGCAGATCCTCTCATGTATATGTGGAACATAAAGGGGAATAAAAGCAAAGGCATAGACAATGGCCACTGAAAATAAACCCTGAAGTTCTGTCTACAGAACTGAGGCTGCCAAGTGGCAGAGGGGTGGGGTGCGAGGCAGATGAGATGGAAACCAGGGAACAGTAGAAGGATACCGTCACTCCGGTGGTAGGTGAAGTGCATTACACTGCAATCCTGAAACAGTAATACAATGCTACTGTAAATAATAACACCACAAAAATGTAGCGTGGGGGAAAGAGGGAAACAAGACAGATATAGCCTCAGCCACCAATAGTAATTCTAATGGTATGGAAAAGAGGCGTAGTCTCCCCACCCCCCCCAAACTACATAGTAAATTATCATAATCACCTAAGAGTAAGAGAGAGCTGTATATATTACCAGAGGTTTGCACAGAGATACAAAGCTGGTCCAAAGCATGAAAAGCCCTTGTGTGCCTATGCATTACCTCCTCATTCAAATTTGCTCTTAGACAAAGGCTGAGATGCTTTAGGAAGTGCAACTGGGAAGGAGATATAGCATCACATTTTCCTGCACAAAGCCTACTGTTAACACTCTGAAAAAAAGAGTGGGGATTCTAAATTAGAGGAAAACCAAATCCTGTTGAGGACAGTCCTATTTCCAAATGATAGATTGATATTTTTAATAGATGAAACTCATAGAGAACGCATAGAGAATTCACTTCATAAAGAATTCAAGGCTAATATTTTTTATCTTTTGCTTAAGTCAAGTCAGCAGGTTTTCAAAGAAAGTTGAGCACAAATGATCATTTTGGGTCAGATCATGAAAATACTCAAAGAATGTTCACCTATTCATCAGAATGCAAATATGAAGGCTTCTTTTTTTTTCCTCCTGAAATACCCTAACAAGAAAGAATTAAAAAAAAAAATCCAAACTGGCAGCATTTTAAAATGGCCAGGTGCCCCAACACACTGCTGGGTCTATAGTTCTTGTTCTTCTCACAACAAAACAAGGCAGAATATGGTATCAAATAACAACTCAGATTACAAAACTGAGAATATCAGTAATGGGAGGATGTGTGTGGGGGGTGGATGGGTGGGTGGAAGGAAATGAAGAGGTGGAAATAACATAAGGTCATTGGTGGAGGGTCTTGGACAGTTTGGTGGTGATGAGGTACTGGGATGCCCCTTGCTAAATTGAAACCATAAACATTAACATTATTGTAAACATCTGACCTAGACTATAATTATTAAATTAAGCTTTAAAAAAACCCTCATAACAAATCTTCAGAACAGAAAACTAATTCCTAGAATTACAATGTTGAGTTTTTGTCCAAGATTAGAGTCTCTGATCTAGAACAACGTATGATGACACATATATTTCATTGCACTCATGCTGTCTGTGATTCATTTTGGAAACAATTTTTGTTTTTAGTATTTGAAGATGTACAGATTGAGGGACTATAAAAGACGGTACTTTGGAGCCAAAAAGACTCCATTTTTCTAAGCTACCCATTATAGCGGTCCTCCAGGGGCTGCTGAGATGGGATCCATCCGCAAAGTTAACCATCACTGGCATTAGCAGGCCTGGGGCCCTAGTAGCTTAAATATAAACCAACAGGGTTATTTAGGAAAGCAACTCTGGAGGGCTGGAAAATTCAGGAAGACACAACTGGTTGCTGCAATACACAAAAGTTTATTTTTGATTTTTTTTTGTCTTTTCTGAAGGCAAAATATAATAGAACTGAACAGTAATGGATTTTGTACAACAAAAACAGCTTTTAATATGGAACAGACTGTCCATGAACATTTCAAAACCTCGGAATGGCTTCCCTTTTTCAAAGTCATGCTTTCTTGCATCCATGAGGCATTGGCACGGAAGAGGCGGTGGCAGTCCACTGGGTGATGTGAACGGAAGGACGCACAGCTTCCCTAGATCCGTGTCAGCTGGTGCCACAAACTGGATGGTAGTATGCTTTCCACTTTATCCATGACAAAGTTTAAGGGAGCAAACAAAGTGCTAAGAAACTGTAAAAACAAACAAACAAACAAACAAAGAACAAAAACAGAAAGGCACAGAAGTCAGATGATATCTCATTCAAGACTATACTGTGACCCCTCTCCAACCCTGGCCTGCCTCTGAAGTTTCTGCATTAGGGAGGTCTCCAGGGGCTACAAACTCCAATGTCATATTTATGTTTATAGGAAACATCAGCAGAAGAACTAACCTGCATTCCAGCACCCACCGCCCAAGAGCTTGTATAGATAAGGGGGAGAAGTGTCTGCAGACAGCCCCCTTCCCCTTCTGACAGCTAGTCTTCAGTTCCTAGCCTCGGCACAGCCTCAAGAGCTGTTGGCTGTCCCTCAGAATCCATGACAGAGGATGGCGAGTGGTCAGAAGAGTTTCAAAAAATGACAACAACTTAGCTCACCTGTTTGCTTGATGAGCACCCTACCCCCACATAGAATTCTAAGTGCAAAAGGAAAATAAAAATAAAATAGTTGTTTAAATATGGTTGTAAATTGCCATATTGGTTGGAGTGATAGCACAGCGGGTAGGGCCTTTGCCTTGCACGTGGCCGACCCGGGTTCGATTCCTCCATCCCTCTCGGAGAGCCTGGCAAGCTACCAAGAGTATCCCACCTGCACAGCAGAGCCTGGCAAGCTCCCCGTGGTGTATTCAATATGCCAAAAACAGTAACAAGTCTCACAATGGAGACGTTATTGGTGCTCTCTCAAGCAAACTGATGAACATTGGGATAACAGTGCTACAATGCTACAGTGTAAATTGCCTTAGGATCCTGTTTCCCTAAACATCTAGGTAGTCCCAGCAATTTCTGAGCTACCTAATTAGTGAGGAGCATCATGAGAGCAAGGAGTCAGGTTTGGGGAGGGGGAAAGGGCAGAAAACTGGCCAATCAATGAATGACATGGTGATGCAGAGGAGATCTCTGAGATCTTTCACTTGGTACCTTGGTAACCCACTCAGACAAGTACCCCTTCTGAGATCATTTTAACATACTCTCAAATCTATTCTGATTATGTTCTTGTAAAAAACTGGTTTGCTCTTCTGCCTGTGTCCCCCTGTCTCTGGCGACCCAGGGGTCATATCCATAAGCCACCTTAAGCGCCAGATAATCTCATCATTGGCCACCATCCTGATCACATGGCTTTTTCTCCTGGAAGGGAGCAACATGACGCTTGCCATAGCCATGCTACCAGACCCCCTGCCAGACTGTTTTACTTGGGGCTCCCCAGAGGAGGGTAGGTGAGAGCCCTCCCCACCCCAAGGGACCCAGCCCCGGCAGCCAAAAACCTCCATAACCCAACCACTGCCACCAGCAAGGCCACTCCCCATACCCTCCGGCTAGGGCTTAAGCACAAGTGAATGTATTCCTGGATCGCATGGCCAGACATATCATAAGACACTCCCTGCCCATTCTCCATGAGTGCCACACCACATCTGATAGAGTTCAAATTGTAGGTAATCATAGAGGGAAATATATATATTATATATGTGTGTGTGTGTGTGTGTGTATCACTGTCCTCCCGTTCATCGATTTTCTCCAGCGGGCCCAGTAACGTCTCCATTGGAGACTTTGTTGTTACTGTGTTTGGCATATCGAATACATCATGGCTAGCTTACCAGGCTCTGCGTGCGGGCGAGATACTCTTGGTAGCTTGCCGGGCTCTCCGAGAGGGGTGGAGGAATTGAACTCGGGTCGGCCATGTTGGCTGCGTGCAAGGCAAACGCCCTACCGCTGTGCTATCGCTTCAGCCCATATATATATATATATATATATATATATATATATATATATTATAAGCTCACATCACCCAACCTTTAACAACATGTTAGTGATATCCTGGGCTGGAGTGGTAGGGCGTTTGCCTTGCATGCAGCCAACATGGCCGACCCGAGTTCAATTCCTCCGCCCCTCCTGGAGAGCCCGGCAAGCTACCGAGAGTATCTTGCCCGCACAGCAGAGCCTGGCAAGTTACCCCGTGATGTATTCAATATGCCAAACACAGTAACAACAAAGTCTCCAATGGAGATGTTACTGGGCCCACTCGAGCAAATCGATGAACAACGGGAGGACAGTGACAGTGACAGTGATATCCTAAAGAATGTCTTAATGGCCCCTGCTAAAATAGAACAATCTCCACACTGTTTTCTATATGGATACTTTTTTGTAGCACTTTCAGCAGTTTTTCATAACAGACAATACAAAATATATTATTTCAGTTGTGCTTTGGGATAGGGATTGGGGCTTGAGATGGAAAGATCCCAAATATGGTGGTGGGATTGGTGTTTGTATATTAAAAGTAATCAAATATTGTGAACCACCTTATAAAATAAAAAAAATTAAAAAAAAGAATTGGCTTGCAGAGGATATATCCCAACCCACTCAGACACATGATTATTGAGATGATTTCCCTGCTCTGTCTGTTCAGAACCAAGGTATCATCTGGCTATGGCTTAATATCTGGTCCTTGTATTGTGGAGTGCTCTCTCTTAAGCAATTGCCCATAACACAGCACTGTGCATACCACCAAAATGTCTCCAACAAGTGTAGTGTGGGATGTGAGTACACTACACTTTTTTGCAGAGAAGGAACATTGTACTGAGCTCGAACAAACTGGTGGACTGTGTTTTACTGAAGCTAAAGCAGGCTCCCCTCCTGGCCATATGTTTTATGGATTTGGGACCCACAATTAAAGTCAATTGAGTGCAGAATCTTTCCTTATTTCCATCCTTCCTTCTTTCTTTTTCTTATTTAAAAAAATTACCTATCAAATGCAAACTGAGAAGGCATGATGCAAACACCATCAAGTGTAAGATCTGTGTAAAGGAAACTCAAGATAATGTTAGGATTTGGAATATCATATCAGGGGTTGTCAGAAAAGAAAATGAATTCTTTCTTCAGAAAGGATGAGGAAAAACTTAAAATGAGGCAACACAAAGGGACACCAGTGGAGGATTAGAATATTAAAAGACTCTTATTAGAGTAATAAGGGGAGAAATATGAGCAAGTGAGTCCTTGGCGATCCACAACAGCTAAAACAGAAATGGGAAAGTAGCTTGTTGAACCAGGAGAAAAGAAATAATTAAGGTGAATTGAAAAAGTTAGAGGTAGAGTCAAAGACAAACTCAAGGCTTCACATGCCAGGCAAGACTCACAGTTAATAAACAGTCATGCAAATACTTAAGCAAGTGTGGATGATACTTTCTTCAAGTGGGTGTTGGCTAGCTGATGGTTTCTATAAGCTACTGAAATGGTCCTTTCAGAAGTTGAAAAATGTGCACCCTATAGAATGGGTCACCTGTCTATTTTAGCTTAGAGCTAGACTGGGTGTCACCCATGAATATAGTAAGAAGGCCTCATAAGAGACTGAGCACACAAATGAGTAAATGAATGACTGTCCCACTACCTCTGAGTCTGAAAAAAGTCCAATTTATAAGAGGATCATACAGAACAAGTCTATTGATTGCATTAACTCAACATGCTAAAATTACACACACATTATTATTTACTTGGGCTGGAGCGATAGCACAGTGGTAGGGCGTTTGCCTTGCACGCAGCCAACATGGCCGACCCGAGTTCAATTCCGCTGCCCCTCTCGGAGAGCCCAGCAAGCTACCGAGAGTATCTCACCTGCACGCAGAGCCTGGCAAGCTACCCGTGATGTATTCGATATGCCAAACACAGAAACAACAATGTCTCCAATGGAGGCGTTACTGGGCCCACTCGAGCAAATAGATGAACAATGGGAGGACAGTATTATTTACTTACATGTAAGTCATCAGAGCAAACCATGAAACACAGCATCTATCTCTAATGCTCAGTTCTACAGAGAGGAGCCAGATGTTAAAGAGGTCTGGTTACACCAGAAATTCTGACTAGGCTTGGAAAATGGAGGTCAATGAATGAAGTGATATTGTGGCAAAGTGATCACATCTTACAAGGATTCCCGAATGCTGCATTACAGAGGGAGGAAGGACCTACTGAAGTGTGAGTAGAGCCAGTGAAGTTAAGAGGAAGGCATTTGCTCAAAGTCTGGGTCGCTTCATGCACTAGAACCTGGGGCACCAGGGAGCTCAACTCTGGTTAGCAGGATGCACAGAGATGCTGTGACCAAGTGGACTGGACAGGAAGGCCTGTTTGTTGGCTTTGTTTCTGATCCTGACCTGACTTGGATAAAAAGCTCAGGCCTCTGGAAATCAGCCCTGCTGGAGGTGTGCAAAGGGCTCCACTCCCTCGCTTCACTGTTCCTCTGGGCCATGCCTGCCCTTCAAAACCAGGTTCTGCAAGAGAAGCAAGTCCCTGTTTACTGTCCTGTCTCATATCTTCATGGCTACACTCAATTAGAAAAGAATTCCTTGAATCTTTTCCTACAGAGCCTAATTCTCTCCCAGCTCCCTAAGTGAGATGTGTAACCTTTATTTCTAAGCTATATTCTTCAGCGTCCCCCCCTACACCATCTTCCTCATCCCATGTCTATAAGGAAAAAGCAGAATTCGCTGCCCAAACCACTAAGTTCTTTCATTTATGAATCAGATACAGGTCGGTGGCTTTTTATCAGGAGGCATCAAAAAATAACATCTCATGGAATTCACCTTACTTGGGGATGCTTAGCTGTACTTCTCTGTGGCTGGAATCCCAACCACGGCTCAGAGAGAAACAAGAGTCTCCCATATAGATTTTGGACATGATTATCTGAAAAGTTAAGTCTGTCTGCATGAGTAATACCAGGAAACCCTGGAACAGCTCATCTATCTCCGCATCCCAAACTGCTGCCCAGGGGTCACAAAAACATGGTCTAAAATGCACTCTAGTTCAATCAGTGTCTTAGGGTGAGAAAAAGCAATGGAAGTAATAAAAAGGCAAAAGTGACACTTCAATGGCCTGATGCACCTCTTTCAGAAACTCCATCATTTAGAAGAGGGTCATGCCTCCCGATGGGCTTCGTTACCATGTGCAACGTCGCGGCTTATCTGAATAAGTTCCAGGTGCCCTACTGCAATTGGACAATTGACATTTCACTGTAATCAATATCAGACTTCAAAGGGGTCAGGGCCTATAAGTGAAGATGAGAGTCAGAAGTCAGGGAGATCAGGCCGAGAAAGGAGAGAGAGTAGAGGAGTCCAGACAGGGCCCTTGATGGCAGAAGGGGTCAGGATGCTGACCTTCCCACATTCTGCCAGGGACTAGGTTTCAGATGATAACCTTTTTATATGAGCAACCTTATCTTGCTAGCCAAACATTCTAGGAAGAGCTAGTCCTAAGTCATTGAGGTAGATTAGATTAGCGGGGTGAAGGCACTGGACGCTTTGCATTCTACCATTTCCCAGCGGCACTCACTTGGCTGTGGGCCGCCTTGTGGGCTACAAATCAACATGTAAACATGCAGAGGGTTCCCAAGCTGCGCACAGTAGGGTGGGGGTCGGGCAATCTCTGCATCAACTAAGAGTCATTATCCCAGGGACCTTATCTTAGGCAAGGGCTGAGAAAATCATTTTCACAAGTTGCAAATGGCTGCAGGCGGCCTACCATGCCAGAGTGATAACCCGAGGGGGGGCGGGGGGGGGGTTGGGGGGGCTGGCTGTGATGAAGTGATGAGGGTGAAAATGTGGGAGGCCTGGTATGGGAAGAGTGGGGACGGTGCATCCATCTTCCTTCCCCACTAAGTCTCTCCAGACATCTTGGAAACTGCTAAATCTTAATGAAGGGCAAAATGAATGTGAGCCTTCAGAGAGAGGTTTAAAAGCCAATCTATCTAAACTTTCTTTGAAAAATTGTAGGTAGCAGACCAAACCATGACTCCTTGGTAGAGTGTCAAATAGGAAGACAGAATCTGTCTGCGAAGACCGTAAAAGCAAAGGTATCTTTTATTTGGTCAATGAATCATGATTGTGGAAATTTAAAAAAAATGGGGAGAGTAGCCCTTTGTCAAACATCAGTAATGACCATCCCCCTTGGACTTGTGGAGAGTGTGTCAGCTTTCTGAGCAAACACCTTCACCTGTGTTCTATTTTCGATCCCCACCCCACCCTAGCCCTCCCTGGAAAAAGCGGGTTCAAACCCTCAGTCACTATCCAGTGTGGGTGCTGGCAGTCCTGGGGGCAGAGTCACACCGCCGGGGGAGATTCTGAAAACCCCGATGAGTATGCTGTCCCCCCAAACCAGTCAAGTCAGTACTGTGGGTGAGGGAGACACACAGCCATGATCGCTAAGCTCCCAGGTGATGTCAAGGTCCAGTTCGGGTAGAAGCACTGACTTTCTGTAAACGTTCACCTCACATCTCTGACAGAACACCATGTGTCGACAGAGTCGGTTTGACAGTTCCACTTTCTTGAGTGTGGTGTTTTATGCGCTTCAACTGCTCTTCTCGGACTTAGCTGGAATCCCTGAGGAAACCACATGATTTCTGGGGCCTAAAATTCAGGATTCTGAGTTTCTGTTGGTGGAGACAGGTGAATTTGGGGCACGCCAAAGGCTAAAGATCTTCATTCTGATTCTAAACTGCTACCAAGTGCTCTGTTTGTGTCATGGATACAGAGCCAATAACATATATATATATATATATATATATATATATATATATATGAAAGATAAAAGGAAGAACAAAAAATTGTCTAATTATAGAAGTATATTCTTTAAAATTTCACTAGTTAATGTATTCAATATTGGGGTAACTAATTTTACTAACAGTCTAACTTGGGGGTAGAGGGAAAAAAACAATGAATAACAGAGGCCCAGAAGTAGGAAGTGATACAAGGAGGAAACTTGAATAAAAACTGGGTTTCAAAATCAAAATACAAAAATCTTAAGGAAAGTTAAGATATTATCACCAGAGAAAATTGGCAGTAGTCAGAAATAGCCATGAATGTATTAGGTGTCTAAAGAATTTGCAAGAGAAAGATCTGTTCCATATAGTTTCAGAGGGCAGAAGAGGAACAGTAAGAGGAGCTTAAAGAAAGGCAGATTCTATCACCTTGAGATAAGGGTTTTGAGTGATTCAACAAGATGTGTTTTGACGTTAAATAGGCAAGTTCCCCAAGGCTTCAAGCATTCAAGACAGGACTGCTGGCCTTCCAAGTCACTGCTGAAGGCAATTTTAAGTCCCTTTCAACTCAGTGTCTGTGATTATACGTACAAAAGAAGAAAATCAGTGCTAAACTGCATCTGATTTTTTCACAGTGATTCTTTCTGTAGAAACCACTACCACTTATTTATTTAATAATCATTTATTGAAAACCTAAGATGTGCAAGGCACGTGCAAAGCCTTGGGGGTACAGAGATGAGGAGGACACAGTCCTGCTCTCAAAGAGCTTACATTCTAAAAGGGAACAGGCAAGTTTCCAACAATTATCATACAGTACAGTAAATGGAATATAGGTATTCATGGAATACAGTGGGCCTACGGAGCAGAGACATCTAACTCAACTCAGGAGAAACCAAGAAAGAGAGCTGAGTATAAGAGAATGAAGAGGCATTAGTAGAGTGAGCAAGTAGAGGTGTGATGGGGAGGCGCATTCCATGCAGAGAAAAAAAGGAGGTGCAAAAGGACACAGGTGTCTATGAGTCTGGTGCATCTGGAACTGGTGAGCAATCCATTAAGGGTAGAATCCACAAGAGTTGGGCGAGACGAGGCTAAAAGGACAAGCTAGGGCCAGATTATTTAAGGACCTTGCATGCTAACGAACTGGTATAGTAGCCTGAAATTGGTGGGGACACCAATGAACATCAATGGAGAAATTCAAGCAAGGAAATGACATGCTCAGACCTATAATTTAGAAAGATCACATTTGAGTCAGTATGAAGGAAAGAAAGATCAGCAAAGGATAAAACCGGGTACAAGGTGGCCAAGGAAAACTCTTGCAGGAGTCCAGGTAAGAAAGAACGAAGATATGAACTAAGACAGAGATCATGAGAAGAGAGAGTGGAAGAAGAGGAAAACAATATTTACTGAGTGCCTAGAGGCTTTAGGAGGTTAGAACCCAGGGATGCTCAGAGCTAGGATATGGGGGCATGAGAGAGAAGAGTGGGGGAAGGCAGCTGAGTTACAGGCTGGGTAACTGGGGGGATATCAGGCAGTGCCACTGGCAGAGGTCGGATATGAGGAGAAGGAGTGATTTTGGTGGGCTGGGGGGGGGCGGGGGAAGAAGGGTGATGAGTTCAGTTTGGGAAATGTTGAGATTGAGATGCCGGTGGGATTTCCAGTTCATCTTCAACACGCATGAAAATACTCTTGCAATTCCAGTCCCTGAACTCTGCCGAGCAGAAAATGTCAATCATCTGAAAAGGGATTAAATCAACCCAGCCAAGTTAGAAATCGTCCTTTCTAACTCCACTCTTCCTGAAATCAGAATGGTGTCCAGGGAAACAATTGACACTCTTTTCCTTGTTCCTTCTGTCTGAAACTCATCTGTGGCAAGTTAGTGAAACTGTCCTCACTGCACAAGCAGGCTCAAATGGATAGTTTTCAACAAGGAAACAGTGGATCTTGGTCTCAGTGCCAATGGCTTTTCTTATTAAAACTCCTGTCCACGACTTTCCTTAAAGACTCTTAAACTCTCCAGTTCTATATGTCATATCCATACACTTCTTAATACTACCAGTCCTTATACCTTCTCAGTTTATTTCCAAAACAAGCCAAAGGGTTTCAATCATTAAAAAAGCAAACAAACAAACAAAAAACCTCTCATATTCTTTGAAAATGTAAATCGCATCCTTCTTGAAGTAAAGACCTAAGATATCTAAGTCAGATGTCATCGGATGTATATGAAAATTGAGTAATTCCTCACATATTTGACATTTTCGAGGAGTGCCTTAATTATTTCTTTCATCCTTCTGGACCTCAAGCATTCAGAGAAACGCCTGAGAAGTTTGTGTGTGAATGAAATGAGGCAAGCCATGCATTAACAACTGCCCTCTACTTCTTATTTGCGCCTCAACCCTCTGGTTCCACTGAAAAACTACACTCACCAGTGATCAGCACAGGCATGTGAGTTTTTACACAATGGCCCCTCGTTTCTCTGATGCTGCTTCCTTTCCCTTAGCTTGTTCTACCCCCTTCCCTGAGGCCTCCCAACCTGGGTAAATACTCACAGCTTTCGCGAAGACCCCCATAAGTTCTGGGAACTGGTGTGTCAGGAGGGCCAGCATCGCTGTGAAGGAACACAGTCCAGCAGTAAAGAGAATAAAGAAGGGAAGTTCCTTCTTTGGGTAAACTGAGACCTCGTGGAAAGCTGTTAAGAAAAAGGGAATTATTAGGATGAGAGGACCGTGCTTTCTGAGGGACTGAATCTCCTGCGTGGGGGCTGGAGCCCCTGGGAAACATCATAGCAGGGCAAACTGAACCTGTGTCAAGCAGCGCCCACATCTGGGTAAGCCTGCACAGCCTCTCTGCTTCTCCCCAGCCCACGGCCAACCTCCCGCACTCTAGGTCAGGCACTATCAGGCCAACTAGGACAGTCACACTGTCGTGGGAGGGCCAGCAACCCTTTCCATCCTAAGCAATAGCATCCCATTTCCCAAAGCAAACACAAATAAAAGAAAACTTCATTCAAGTGACACAACACATGCACAATCTGAAAATCTTAGCATGTGTGTGTGTGTGTGGGGGGGGGAGTCTTCTCCCCAGATTTTCACCTTCCTATCATTTTTAATGAGGTGCTTTGAGTTTCTCGTCTATCTTTCTCTTGTTTATCTGTGGATGACAGTGGAAGGGTGCCGCCCTGATAGAAAACCCTTCTGCCAGGACCTCACATGCTGGTCTGGTCAGTGTGGGAATGGGGCTCTGAGTGTTATCTGGAGCGACCCAGGGAAATTCTTAATGATCGATGCACTCCCATTCCTTCAATACAGCACTGGTTCTCTTGAGAGTATCTTTCATAACTTTGAAGTTCCAGGCACGGGGTTAGGGAGAAGAGACGTTACCTTACAGAAGCCAAGTATGCCAGCTTTCTGCTTACTGAGACCACGGTTGGTTGGAATGGTGAGCAGGGGAGACAAAGCCGAGGAGTGTGAGTGTGCATGCATGTGTGTGTGCGTGCGCATGCATGTGCTCATGTGTGTGTGTGTGTGTGTGTGTGTGTGTGTGTGCATGTAAGGATTCTACCACCTGCACCGAAAGAATCCAAATGTTCTCTTTTCCCAAGGAGATCCAAGAGCTAAAGAGTTTTTCTTCACCTCTTAGGTCCTGTTATGCAGAATCCTACACAGTAACCCATGCTTTGGAACTAAGATGCGACGGCACTGGGAGAGACACAGCTCAGGAGAGTCAGTGCTCCCGGGCCCATGGAACTCCTGGGAGCCCAGCGTGTGCCGGTAGGCCCTGCTCTGGCAGCCTCAGCAGCAGTCGATGTTCACAGGTAATATGCTCCCAGGGTAACATGTTACCTGCTAATGTGTGTAGCTGTGAAACAGCCAAGCCCCACCATAAAAGAGTTGAAGTGGAGCTCAGACTTGGATCATTGCATACCATAATATTTTATTCCAGGCTTATGCAGATTATTCCTACATGGTTTCTTTGAATTGTGATCTTGTTCTCGTTATTCTCATGCAAACTTGGTGGGGCTCCTTTCAGACTGAAAAGGGTGTTTTTCAGAAAACTCTTAACTCCCCCAAGAGGCTCTCTGAAAGCGAGGGGATGGACGGAGTTGTCCAAAGTTCAAAACCAGTCCCCGTTACCAGGGATTTCTGGAATCATCCCCAAGGCAGTGAGAGGCTCTAGACTTTGCATTCAACTTGGATAGGGAGGAAAAGCACATGATTGGGCCTTCCCAGTTCCCTTGTCCCTTCTTTGACCAAGGTTCATACTGGGACTCACTAGTGAGGTGCGACTGTCTCCAGCTACTTCGATCCCAGACAGCGACCCCACTGGTACCCAGAATCTCACCCTGTTGGCGAATGGCAGCTGGCCTAGGGATGTTGGTACAGGTCATTCACCGTGCCCCAGAGCTCCAAAGTTCCTCGACAGCTCTGGGTAATGTACTTGTACATATTATAGCTAGGATCCCCATTCCAACTGGGGCTCGTAAGACGGAGGGGAGGTAGGAGGAAGAGAGGACAGTGATGCCTGCAGAAGAGTCAACGTTTGGAGCTTATTATCTGAGGGAGAAAACTATGTCCTAAGTCAGGGCCACATGAAAAGCCTGGACAGGATCCTTCACACAGTCTGATTTGATAATGACTATTTAGCTGCCATTGCCCAAACAAGGCTGAGAAATCACACTTTCCACATGTGGTGAGGAGCGTCAGGCTGCTTGCACGGGAGGGCCTCGAGGGCAGGGTTCTCCCTGCACAGGCCCCCAGCATGCTCCTGGGAAATTCCTCTGGCCAAGAGCATTGCAGCACTGAAGAGAGCAGAGCAGGCTGGCTGCACGCCGCCGCCTCTGACCATGCTGCACTCCCGCCCCCACCCCCCCTACTCATCTGTAGCTTCCCCTGCAGACAGCCCATCCTCTGTCAGTGCCAGTCTGTGCACCAGCTGGAGTGCTCAGGTCGAGCCCTGCATAGTGGACCAGCCCGGCAACTATCTTCCCCCAAGGTCCCCCGCCACCCCCTATCCCCAACCCCACACTCAGAGCTCTGCCTTCAGGCCAAGCAGGCGCGATGCCTCTTCATCTACACTCAAGACCTCTGGGGCCTGTCCTTTTATGAAGCTGGAGAGACTTGGAGGAGCAGGAAGCCAAACCCACTCACATAATTCACTTTAATGCGCGTGCTATCAAATGAGGACAGGGCCGGGAGAAGAGCAATAAAAGACAAGGAACATTATAAACATTTATCATTCCCACCTCTCCCAGCCCCACCTCAGGCGCGCGCGTGAGCATGTACACACATACACACACACACACACACACACACACACACACACACACACACACACACACACACCGGCAGGTCGCCGAGAGGGAGATGGCAAGGTGGGACTTACATGGAAGCAGCTCTCGGTCTGCTGTTTCTGTGCAGATGGGGTAAGGATAAAAAAGATGACCCTTTTCCAAGGGATATGGGATCATCCGGAAAGCTGAAAAGGAGAAACAGCAAGGTTAAAGGTTTAATATTTGCCTTGTAATTTCTCAACTTCAAAATAAAAAAAAAAGGAGGGAGGAGGAGTGGTGCGGGGGTTGAGCATTTTTTTAAATAATGGAAAACACTTCTACAGTAACTCCCGGGAAGGATGCAGGGCTTACCCTGAGCCATGTGCCAGATAAACTGTGAGCGATGCATTAGGATGGATGACTCATACATTAATCTCACACTATATATTCTGGGCAAACCTCACAGAATTGGGTGGAGCAGAGGGTGCAAAGGAATAGGGAAGCCATCAATTCTAATGCCCAGGGTTCCCTCATCTACAAAATATTATTAAAATGTTACAAACACTAATTCAATAGAGCTTAGCTGATGGTCATAACACAAATCTGGATGGGAATGCTCCCCCAAGAAGCAAATGTATATTGACTTCTTGGAGCTTGTTGCAGATGTAGAAATATGAAAGGCATTCTAGCTTGTCTTTTTTTTCCCCAAAAAATAAAAAACTATGTCAAGGTAGATTAGAATTCCAACCAAGATGGATAAAAACAGAAACGTAAAAATGCAGGATTTGGGAGGTATTTCTAAATTGTATAAAATGTTTAAATCTTCACTATCATGTGGGACAAAATGTGGATCTGGAGAGATTGATTATCTGCCTGTTGATGGTGTCAGGGCACCAAAACTCACTCTCCTTCTGTGCTATTGGATAACATTAGGTATCACACTGAAATACGGATTTCCCATCACTCCATCCCTTCCCATTTTCTGGTTTCTTACTCGCCCTGGTACAATGTCATCAGCATGCAATGTGTTCAGAGAGGTCACTTTTTTCTTCCACAGTCACCTTTTGTGGCAGCACACTATAAGATATGAAACACGGAGATGCAGCCCTGCTTCGGGAAGGCCATGGAACGAAAGATCCTTATCTTAATGTTGTCCAAGAGAGCAACACAGTGCTCTTGGCTGTGGTAAATGCTCCACTTCAAGGCCTCGTTGCTACCTCCTCGACTGTGTAATTAACCTACGCCCGTCTCAGAATGCTGTCAATGTACATATTTATCTTTTGCATACTCATTTCAAACAGGAATCAGAAACAAAGAATGTTCTCCCTCCCAAGAAATGACAAGGTTCTATTGTAACCAGCCATCAGTGCACATATGGTATTTATTCTGGTGTCTGAATATTATTTAAAAGTAAAAACATTATGTATGTGATTCCAGCATTTGGAATGCAGTCAATCTGCACCACAGCGGTATCACTCTGAGGTTACAGCACATTGCCACGGAGAATATAAATCACTAGAAACGTGGGATTAGAGCAGAGCCAGTTTGCTGGCAGTTTGCTGAGGTAAAAGTGTTATCAATTTTCCTCTCGTTACAGAAACCTCTTAAACAGAGATTAAAACATTAAAAACACCCGGGACTTGAGCTCTTCTTAAAATGAAAGGCTCACTCTAGTTCAATCAGACCTCTTTCAAGCAAACAAAGATGACTTTTGCCCACGAGTGCAAGAAAGGAGCTCCCTGTACAGGTTCCCGTCCCTTGGGATCACCACCCACCCTCTCAGCAGAAGGAGACCGCCAGGAGGAAAAACAAAACAAAACAAAAAACAACACCCCCACGACCCAAAACTCCCAGTGCCTTTCACAGGGTGAACATTAAAATCTCTCCCAGGAAGCAGGACACTCACATTCCAACTGCAACCTCTCAGGGAGGACTACCATTGCTGATAAATGATGCCCCTAGAAAAGCACCCCCCCAAATGGAGAAAATCCTGCGTGGAAGTTGGATTTTTTTTTGTGTTTATTTTTTTTAATCCATATTTTCCACATGTAACAGAGCAACTGTAATTCAGATTCTGACAGAAGGAAATCCTCCATTTTCAAAGTGGCTATAAAGTGTGAATGCTAAATTTTGTTCAAAATGGACAGAAGCTGGCACTCGAGGGAGTGAAGCACTTCGTATTTCAAAAATTGAAATAAGATATAGGAGTACAAAATTTTGAGAGTCTACAACTATAGGTATCAAATGGTTGGTTGGTGTTTATATATATGTATATATATATGTATATATATATATTTTTTTAACCAGATGCCAAAATTTTCTTACTCCAGTATTTGGCTCACAGACAGAATTTTGTGCATCAAATTAGTGCTTCTCTTCTAATCATTTCTGGTCCTTTTGGAGAGGGTGGAGGGCGATGCTGATTATGTGGAATTTAAAAAGAGCACACACACACACACATACACACACACACACACACGCACACACATTCTGCATTACTCCCACCCCAAATGAAAAAGATGCATATTATGATGCTCTTAAAATCTCTCATATCAGTTGTCATTTACATTGAGCTCATAAAATATTAAGACTTCTGGCATCACTAAACAAAAGTAAATACAATCTCTGCTGGCAATTCTATCCTTTACCCACCCTGTTGTGCAGGGTCCAGCAAAGTGTGAGATAAGCAGAGGGCTGGAGAGAGCAGATGCAGACCCTGCCAGCTTCACCTCCCATCTCCTGCTTCCTCTCACTGCAAAAACACGTGGCCTCTCCCAGGAAACCTTGGGCCGACAAGGTTCAGAAACCTTGTAAGCTCAAGTATGAACCCAACCTATGATGTGGCAGTGCAAAAAAAGTTCATTTTATTTATTCTGTGAATTTCATTAGATTTATAAGTGATTATAAACCTCTCAAAAGTGATAAAAGAACCCCAAACATTTCAATGAAGTTTAAAATGTTCATGTACTTGTTTAAAAAATAAAAGTGAAAAAAAAAAACAAGCCCAAATGCTGGACTATTTAGAAATACTCTATGGTAGAAAAATGATGTTTCTACCTTTTCCTTTGTGGGTCATTACCTTCCCCATCATGATTTCAGATGTGCTTTGTTGAAGGGTCAAGATGAAACTGGGATCTAATGAATCTTCTATCCTGGACCAGATGTTTTGGCTCCATTCAGAACCGTGTCCTGCAGAGACTACGTACCAACACCACATAAAAAGTCAACTGAACTAAAGGAAGAACTGATAGAATTGATGCATGGATAAGTTATTTCCCCATCCCCACAAAGACCTGTAAGGACCTCTCATCCTATACACTTCTATACATGGGATAGCAGGTGATGTTTGGTATTTTGACATTTTGTTTGATTCTTTATTTTTATTCAGTTTTTTAAACTTTATTCTCCCTCTTCAAAGAGGAACACAGAGACCTTAATAGAGAGACAGGTCACTTGTCACTATGAGAACTGAGTCTGAATCCCAACTCCATCTCTTCAAAGCAGGAGGGTTTTCCTTTTGCGCCAGGGGTGGGAAGGAGGGCTGAACACACAGTGCCTTTGCTGACTGAGGCCATAGCCAGCGGCCTAAGAAGAGAATTGAACCAATAATTACGAAAATACATGAGCCAGTTCCTGGAAGGAGGATGCCAGGGGCTGTGCCCATCAATGGTGGGCCTGGGCAGTGGAGGTGAGAATAAGAGGAGGAACTGAGCTGAAATGAGCTAAGAACTTGTATGACTTTGGGCAAGTCACTAACCTATTCTAGTCTCTGAGTTGGGGCAAATGAGAATACACAGAGCTGGAAGAGACCATCAGAGGTATAACAGCATAGGTCAAAGTGTCAAAACACAGTACCTGATGACTCAATAAAAGTTTTCTCTTCATCTTCTAGTTCTACTCAATCTAACTTCCTACTTAACTGGGCCATTCTATAAATTATTATTATTATTATTATTATTATTATTATTATTAGCTTTTTGGGTCACACCCGGCGATGCACAGGGGTTATTTCTGGCTCATGCAATCAGGAATTACTACTGGTGGTGCTCGGGGGACCATATAGGATGCTGGGAATCGAACCCGGGTCGGCTGCGTGCAAGGCAAACACCCTATCCGCTGTGCTATCACTTCAGTCCCAACTTATTTTTTTTAATGTTGCATGTTTCTAAACAGAAATGCAAATAATATCATGGAAAATAATCATCAAAGAGAAGATATTTTATATTCCCACTTTTGCAGGCAGTGCAGGTAACTGCTGGTGAAGATTATCTGTCTCACTGAAGATTCAGTGAGACATTTGAGTACAACAGCAATGAAAATTCAGAAGGGAAAAGACTGGATTTCTTCTGATCTACATTCTTTCACTATCTAGTTATGTGGTCTTGGAAAGTCACTTTCCCTTGGTTAGATTAAATGACATTCCATTCCAATTTTAAGAAGAAATTCTAGAGTTTTACAGCAGATTCACTAGCTTTTTGTTACTGATTCTCAATGCTCTAACAGTTTGGCCTTCCCTTCACAACTATGCTGCTTGGCTCCATACTGTATACACACATGCATGTGTGTGTGCAGGTATATGGGAGTGTGTATATATGTCTTATTACATTATTATACAATAATAACATATTATTATTACATAATAAAATGTTTATCCCACAACCTTTCAGGGTCTTATTCACTTCGGTATCTCCAAAACAATGGTCAGAACAAAAAGAAGACTCAATGCATGCTTATTATCTAAAAAATGAACAAGTTAATGTACAATCAGGAATTTAAAAAATGTTCATACTGTGGTCAGTCACCAAGACCAAATCAATAGCAGGAGCTACCTGGTTCTATGGGGCAGTCAGCATGGAAGTATCACTGGACCATTACCAAAAATTATGCGTGTTAGTCATGACCAGTGTCTTTATTAGTTGACCATTGCTCTCTTTCAAGTTATAAAATCCAGACTTAGATTGATGGGATTGTGGGGTGGGGGCAGGGGTTTCTCTTTAGCTGTCCAAATGATGCCAACCATTTGTAGGAAAGGTTTGGTTAGAGGAAATGCCCAAAGGACCACCTCTTACAGCAAGAAGCATTTATCATTAGGTTCAAAGAGAATAAATTAGAATCAGAATTTCATCCTATGCTTCAACAATGGGCCACTTTCTACTCTCAAAGGAAATACTCCGAGGCCCCCGAAAAAATACCACCTTCAAATCTT